TGTGATGATGATACATACACTCCTTGATTAACAGATGAATCAAAATAGTTGTGTAAGTGATACAATGATTGAACATGTTCCTTGGACAAAGCATAATTCAAATACTTCATTTGATGAATGTAAGGAATATCAGGTACACATTGTTCTAATTCACGCAAGTAGTTGTGCATCACAGTAGGATGTATACTACTTTGGCCCGTTTCTAACAATCATTAAGTGGCTACTTCTATATGATCTGCCTAGATCCTTACTTTCGATCATCTCAGCCTGTGCTCTGAGAAAGGTAACTATGTTGTGCTCTGATATCCATCGTTCCTCTTTTTACGCATGTTTCAATCATGTCATTTCTGTATACAATTGAAGCTTACCTTGTTGATCCGTGAATATATCATCACCTGCCTGATGAGAACAGTACATTTCAAATGCTCTAAACAGGTCATAGAAGCGATCATCAGGCATATTTTCAAATTCTACATGACATTTTCTTATAAACAAGCCAAATACGCACTCTTTTTGCTATTTAGAAATATGTTATGATAAATAACAAGCATTATATTTTGGTTTTACCAAAAGGATATGATCTTGTGATTGAGCCTACAAGGAAGTTAGGACATTGTTTATATCATATTGATAGCCTACCTCTGCTTCATTGTCAAGAAGAGATGTAATACCTATATATATATATCAAGTGTATGTGAGCCTACATCTCTTAAATTCAAATCATTTTTGTTACTCTTAAGAAAGTTCTCTAGTCTCTCTGGTCTTCTTAACGTGTTTATCTTTTCAAAAAGAGTCAATATGTATTTGATATAAATACTCTCCTTACGTCATTGACGATATCCTCAATAGTATATGTGATGATGTTGTCATCATCAGAGAATGTTTCAATAGTTGCAATTACTTGTCTTAATGTTGGTTCTGAGCATGTCTCTTCACATCTCGATTCATTCTACAACAGTCATTATTTTCTCTCTCTTTTTTTCATTTTTTTTTATATAAATACCAAGACACTCTTTGTCAAGAACAAGATAAACTTATAAGTAATGAATTCAGAAAGCTGATATCGACAGAACTTTTTTATTAATAGTAAAAGGATGATTCTATAAGGTGTGTTATATCCAACATGCAACATAAAGAAAAAAGATTTTTATTGGCTAAAGGGAGCTTGTATTTGTCTTTTTGAAAAAGTCTTCATTATTCTTCATAAACTCAATAGCACGCTAATAAGAAAAGAATAAGAAGGACATATCACAACATAAAATATGTACCTCTCTTCCACCAGCTTTTTCAAACACTTCTTCAAGTTTTTGAGCTAAAACTAAATCACCACGTACTTTTATTCTTCCTGCCATGTATGCCTTTACGCCTGTCATACTATTGAACTATTAATAGATATTCATAACACTAAAGGGAGGTAACTTACCCTCCGGTAATAAAGTTGAGTAAATCATGATCCTCCACTTGAATCTTGATCGTCTTTACTTTAAACACTTTTGCTCTCTTGACCATGTCCTTATGTGTCGTGATGATAGGCTGAACCGTATTTCCTATGATAAAATACGCGTATACATATATCCTAATTTATATACATATGCAAAATATAAATACCTTGTAATAACAAGTACCTATAGAATATATATATATATGCATATATATTTAATATACATCATTTCTTGTTTCTACACTTCAAAATACCATGTAGCCATAGGCTGTTTCTTCTTGGTGATATGAATGACGTATAATCCCTTAATATTTGGCCAAAGTGAATCATCTTGAATCAATTGTTTTTCAATCTCGGGTAATAAAATATCAGCTATCAGTGGCTGATTATTATTGTTTTCAGTCATTTATTTTTAAAAGAAGAGAGAGAAGCAATAATAATAAAGGGAGGGAGTATATAAAGAAAATAACATGTGACACTCTCACAAGGATTTACAATAATAATGCAATTTATTGAAGAAGGATATAAAAAAGTCTATAGTTTAGCTAACTCGATCTGACTGCTTGTTGTTATGTTCTTAATAAAGGGTTTAATACATTCCTCATATCCATCAACTACCAAGGTATGATTCAGAGGTTCTCTTTCTGCCATCTCTGTCATTGATTCATATACTCTACCATCAAACCGTCCCAAGGCCGAATGCAAGTAATAATCAGGCAAGGCAAATGCGTCTACAAGAGAAACAGCTTCAGGTCGAATTTCATCCAAGAGTTGAATCACTTGTTGCTTTAACATCTCGCTCTGTTCTGAAGAGAGATAGCTAGCTACCAAAAATTCAGAGAGCTCCTTTTCCATCGTATGAAGAGCAAACAAGCTAGCCAACAAGCGAAGTACACGGACTATAGGCTTGTATTGGGGTTGGGCTAATTGACGGTCGTTTTGTAAGGCAACAATAAAGTTACGGACCAAGATGAACTGACAGTGTGCCTTGGAGATACGGGCGATTTCAACCAACATTGAGTTCCAGCTACGGCCGTGACGATCGAGTTGTTCGGCTACTTTGGCAATACCATAGGCAGCACGGAAACCAAAGGCAGACAGGACCAGTTCGGGGTTCAGGAAGTCGCTTGGTTTAGTAGCGGGGCACTTGGCTTTAGGATTTTGCATGAATTGAGTAAGGTAATTGATCGTCTGATTGTATTCTGATGGCTCAGCCTTTCCAGCAATCACATTACGGAATGTCTTGAGCAAGTAACGTGCAGTTTGTTGTGTAAGAATATAATTGTCTCCTTCCCAAGTGACGTTGGGAAGTGTATCTTGATAGAATTGACCCAAGCCAGAGAACATGCTGTAGCCATGACCACCACAGGCACGTCGGCAGTCTTCGATCACATCAATGACCATAGTAGTCGTCAAACTTTTGAGACCAGAAGAACTGGCATGAAGATCAGCCAGGAGGTTAAAGTTGCCGGCCTTGACAGCTTCTTGATTCAGGTCATATAAACGCATCATTTCACGTCCCGTAAAGAAACAGGCATAGGCAGAGGCAACAGCAGGGAGCAGACGATACTGCTGCATGGTATAGTCCAAAACAGGCGTCTCGATCACTTTGTTATCCCATTTGCGAGGGTTGGCTGCATCCACAAATTGCTGACGGACGGCGGAATAACGGACAGCGACAGTAGCTGCCTTAGCCATAGCAACCCGAGCGTTCATAACGATGTGAGCACGGACAAAGACCATGGTACCATAGGATAACTTGGCATTGGGTGGTTTGGTATATTCTCCCGTAAACTTGTTGACCTTGGAATAGTTGGCTAAGAAGGCAACGTGAGGAACACGGTAATGATCAAACATAATGAAACCATTGTCGACTGAATTAAAACCAAACTTGGGTCCGATATCACCCACAATGATGCCCTTCAACGGACGATGATCTTCCAGGCTACGAATCTGAACACAGAATGGGTGAGGGCCCATATCTTTGCCATTGGTAATCAAACGAGCCATGACGATGGCATGAGTAGCTGCCTTACCGAGACCACCGATCCACCATTTAGCAGAGGTCAAGGTAGGAGAGTGAAGTTCGAATTGTTGAGTCTCTGGTATATAAGTGGCCGTGGTTTCCAGTCCCTGAACATTTGATCCGTGACCGAGCTATAATTTTTTTTTTTGTTAATTTTCACATGAATAAATATATATGTCATTTTACCTCTGTTTGTGCATAACAACCAATGATTTCATGCTTTAATGCAGGTTCAAGGAACAACTTCTTTTGTTCATCTGTCGTTTGATTTCTCAATGTAGGAATGAACATGTTGTAATGTAAGGTAAAGGGCGTAGATTGGTCATATAAAAAGTTGGCTATTTGAACATCTGTTTCATCCCATTGTTGTTCCCTATTTAAAGGGTGTTATTGCGAAAAAGTATACAATACACTTTCTCTTACCTAGCAATCTCAATCAAGCGTTTCTCTTTCCATAGAGATGTTGTAATCTTTTCTTTACGAGTTTGATAATATCTATTCGTCTTATCAAACGCAGGTTCTGTTTCTAATACTTGAAGGACCTTGCTCATCTTTTGAAGCCATTCTTCGGAATACATATACTTTGACAGTTCCTCAACATCAAAGGTACCTTTAGCTCTTTCATTAGCCAACAACAATTCACCAGAGGGTCCCTTTGGAGCCAATTTGGGGAACTTAGTAGCAACGTTATTATCCATTAAAATATATGTATAAGAATAGATCAAAGAACACAGCTTTTGATCTCTCCGCCTTTTATCTTAAATTTCTAAATTGAATTTCATATTTTTACTTAGTCATTCAAATTTCACAACTTGCCAACAGAAAAAAAAAAAAATATTTTACCCCGCACACGATTTATATTGTCAATGTGTCTGTGTGATGATTTCATGACCTGACAACAATCGAACCAATCATGAACCATATTTGACAAGATACATTCTCTCTTCTATCACATGTCACAGGACCTTTTGGTCTCGCGCGCTGTGACTTTCACTCTCTCTCTTTCTCTCTGTCTTGCTGTCTTCCAGAACGTAATCGCATTTTTGCCATAAATGAAATTCAAACACCGGATATAATATCTTTTTTTTTTTT